CCCCCCCCCCCAGGGACCCCTCCCTCCCCCCCTCCCCCACCGGGAGGACGGGGCTCACCTGCCGGCAACGTGGAGAACTCCACGAAGGCCTCCTTCTTTTCCCGCTGCTCCAGGGGCAGCTGCCACGGCATCTGGTGGGGCCTGGCCAGGACCTTCACCTTGTAGGCCACGTTGGGCCTGAGGTTGAAGAACTGGTACGTGTAGCTCGCGGCCCGGACCACGTCGAGCTCCTCCTCGTTGAGGAAGATGACGTGGCTGTAGTTGCTGTTGGCGGGCAGCCAGGAGAGCTGGGCCGAGATCTGGGTGATGTTGTCCACCCTCAGCTGGGAGGGGGCCACCGCCACGTCCTTGCCCACCAGCAGCGTGCAGCGCAGCTCGTCCGAGTGGCCCCTGCTGGTGGCGCACTGCACGGAGATGCGGTAGGTGCAGGCTGCCGTGTCGAGCTTCTCGATGAGGGCCTTGGTCCTGCTCCCCAGCGTGAGGCTCACGCGCGGCTCCTGGTCCACGAGCACGCTGTAGCTGCTCACGGTCCCCCAGCCCGGCGGCACTGCCGGCGGCTCCCAGGCCACAATGACACTTCTGGCGAGTTGTTTGATGAGGGTGATTTTCCTAGGGTAAGGCACGATGTCTTCTCCGACGTCGTCGACGCTCACGCCCAGCGTCTCCGCACCGCCGTCCGCGACGCCGGCGTCGATGGGGGTGGGGGCGTGCAGGTCCAGAATGTTCTCCCCCTCCGAGCCGATGCCCGAACGGTTGATGAGATTCTGGTCCTGCTCGTTCCCCAGCGTGCTTGCCGGCCGCGACTCGTTGTCCTGGACAAAATCCACAAAGTTGGAGGGCACCAAGCCCCTCTGCCCGTCCAGGAGCTCGCCTGTTGGTACAAAGGCAGTGAGATCACCCCGCCCTCGCATCGGGGCCCCGAGGTCCTGCCGGACCCGCACGGCTCCCCGACAGGGCCGTGTGGTACGGCCGTGGGATTCCACAGGTCGTCACGGACACCCGCTCAAACGTCCCGTCCTCGGGACTTTGCTCCCACCGCTTGCCCCCTGCGACCCGCGAACCCATCAGGCAGCGTGGCCCCCTGCTTAGCCAACACCTGCCTACGGACACGGACAGCCCATGAGCGCAGAGATCTCTTTCCTTTCATCACACTGAAGAGTCCTGGCACACAGTAGGCGCCCAGTAAATGTTTGTTTATGGACGAACAAACGTGCATGAGACGAGGGTTTGGGAGGTTAAGAAAGTAAACGTCTTACTATTATTTTTGAGGGTATGATCACATGAATAGGATTTAAAGGTGACCTCTCCCCCTTGCAAAGCACACTGTGTATGTCCTAAGGAAGCTCCCAGAATGCCCGTTTGCTGTGAGAAAGAAACTGCCCATGTGGTGCCAGACCACCTGTAGGTTGAGTGGCAAAAAATTTCATCACACCAGCTCGCGTGGCTACTGGTGGCCACAGGGAGAACCTCTTCTTATTCTGCGAAATGCTCTCTTTTTAGTTGGGCTCAAAACCCGTTAGCAGCAGAGGTCTAAAAAACAGAAGTGTTTTGAGGAGCCTCAAAGATGCCGTGATTTGGGTAATCTCGCAGCACCAGCGGGACAGGCCATTTGCCCAGTACGTGGCAGGGCGTGGCGGGGAGGTGCCCGTTCCCAGTAGACCCTGGCCTCGGGAGACGTGTGATGGACCCAGAGGAGGGCACGTGACCATACGATGGGCCGTGGATTCCCCCAGAGTAAAGGGGGACTCCGGCCTGCTCCCGGCCCCACGTAGGGTGTGGGTCAGCTGGCACCCCCAGGACGCTCTCACGAGGGCCGGTGCTCGGGTGACGCCGACAGTCATAACCGCACTCACCGTGCACCGGGTCCTGTCCTACCCGCCCTGCACCTCATTTACCCAAGGCTGCCCGCAGGTCGAATTCGCTTTCTCCGTTCTACACAAAGGAAGGCACAGAGACAAGGGAAATTCCCGAGCTTCGCAGCCCTGTTTGAATCAGGCCTCCAGAAAGCTGATGCGGGCAAGATGCCTGCTGTGAATATTCTAGAGATTTCCAACAAGGGTTTTCTGGCGGCCGCCTCGGGCGCCTGTTTCTACAGGTGTGAAAAACAGTGGCGGTGACGTGAACGTAGGTTAAGAGTTAGGGCTGTGCTGCCACCAGCCGTGGCGGATTTCTTGCGTGGACGGCCCACAGCTCTGCTACCACGTGCCCGGCAACTACTGGCGAGCGACGCAGCCCACGGCCGGGCGGCTGTTCAGCGTCAAGACGCAACCTGTGGGGCGCCCGGGTGGCTCGGTCGTTCGAGCATGACTTCAGCTCAGGTCATGATCTCACAGGTCATGAGTTTGAGCCCCACGTCGGGCTCTCTGTTGTTAGCACAGAGCCTTTGGATCCCGTCCCCCCTCACTCTACCCCTCC